TGTCAATTTCCTCAGAAGATTTCAACTTTACGAATTTGAGAGAACTGAGGCTTGATAAGATTCAAAGTGAGGCTTAGTAGTGGAAATGAAAGATTTCCTCAATAGTTGAGGAGGTTAAAGTGTTTTCAAAAAGTCTTAGTACTTTCTGTGTTTTTACCACGTACACCACATTACTTTATTAATAAAATTTTTTAAAAATAAACAAAAACCATTTTATATATTGTACTTATCTAACTTACTTTGATTTTGAACATCCTTATGCTTTTGGTTCCTTCCTTTGTCCTTTTTCGATTTTCTGACTTTTATGTTTCTGGTAAGAGAGATATTCGTAAACGATGTTTGAAAAAAAAAATTTTTTATAAATATATCATTTCAGCTTTAATACGTCAATTTAAATATAATATAAAGTTAACTTGATTAAAAATATTTAGTTAATTTTTTTTTTGTTATATGGTCACACTATGCAGATAGTTCATACGAAAGAATATCTTATGAGATCTTCTTTGGTTCATACTGAGACCGATCTATGCATGTTGTAATTGTTACTTTATAGTTATTAGTTATAGAAATTATTACTCTTTTAGCAGTTTTAAAAACATCGACAGTCCCTTTTGTTTGTAAAAATTTTTATTACTGAATCATTGTGTACTGTAAATATGGTTTCAATTCCGAAAACTTTGTACTGAGAGAGTAATAGAAACTAATTCGGTTTTAACAATCATTTTGACATTTTAAATAAATTACGTATAGAGAAAACTGTAAAGTTAAAAACGTTACCTTAACGTCAACTTCCGTTGAAGACCAATAAATAAACACATTTTTCGATATTGACAGTTTCAATAAGTTTCGCAATAAATAATAATACTTCACATATCACTTATAAGACGTTATCACTACATATAATATAATACCAGCTCAATTAGTGTTAATGTTAAAAATGTCTGTTCTACAAATATATCATAGGTTAGGTTTGAGTGGCGGCCTTGTATACCAAGAAAGCCCACTTGAGCTCAAAATAATGGCCCGTTGTGGAACAAACAAATATATCACGATAAGCAACAATTTTTCAAAACTTTAAAAAAAAATAACACGCGTAAAACATTTATTCAATAGTTTATTTTTGCACTAAGTGTTCAACAAAACTTTTCAAGGGCCTGCGATAAAACCCACATTAACCCCGAAAATAGTCAAAATTAATTAAAGCGCGTATTACACATGAGACTTGTTTGTCAAACTTTTTTGTCAAACTTTTTTGTCGTCGTTTGCTTTAACAGAGCAAAATAGTAGCCTTAATTTTGAACGCGCCCCAAAACAGAAAAAACATATAATTCAAATTATTAGAAAACTTACCAATCGAATAAAAGGCGACTAATTTCACTTTTACGAACAATTGGTGAGGTGTTTGTTAAACGCACTTATATCAGGATATTCCGAGAACTTGCACTTTTCTCAAATTATTTTTTACTTTCCAAATTATGCATTTAAAAAATTTAGATAGATTATTTTTTTTTTGAAAACTTAGCCTACTTTTTGAAACTTGAAATTTTTTTAAAAACTACAAAATTATTTACAAATATTTAAATATAAGAAATAATTCCAAGACCACTGATGATAAGTATTTGGTAATACTCAAAACAGCTGTTCGATCAAGCAAAATTACAATTAATTATAAATAATTAAATATTTTTTTGTTTGCAATTCACTGCTGCTCAATTAAAATCTCTATATTGAAAATATTAGGATATATCAACAATTTAGTTTCTGTCTTTAAAACGTTTAAATAAATAAATTAAAATAAATTTATTTATTAAATAAATTTAATGAACTTAGAAATTTATTTTTGTGGTTATTTTTTTTTTAATTAGTACAAGATCATATATTCACTATCATTGATACAAGTCTATTCAGTTCTCTATTAGGTATACCTCAATCGTTTCTAGTGGTTCTCAGTAATAAGTTTTTAGTATTTCGCATGTTTGTATTTCAAAACATCACAAAAATACGCATCAAGTTCCCAAATGCTATACAGTAATTCAAATATCGTTTTTTGTATATAGTATGTTTCAAACTGTTTACTCATGTAAGTTACTTAAGTAACTTTAAGACTGTCATTTCTATTGACATAAGTTACTTAGTACATGCGAAAAAGCTTTTATGTGTCAAAAAGTTCTTTGAAAGTTTTCAGTAAGCTTCCATTGGTTTAGAAAATTTCACTCAATAATATATCACACAAAAAATTAAATATGTAATTGATATATTGAGTTATTTATATAAATATATATATATATATTGTAAATCTATTACGTATTCAATTAATAAAAGGAAAGATTTTTTACAGCTCAGCTGTTGTTTGATTATATTTTACATATATAACATATGACAAATATTTCAATTTATGTCATTTCCCCTTTGGAAAATTTATTTTTATGGGTTAGATTTGACATTTTGGACTAATTTTGCTTACTATATTTTCAAATAAATTAAAAAGCACGAAAACTCTTTCGATGGTTAATCAAATTTATCTTAGCTATTTCAAGTAATAGTACGTTTCCACTGCTTAAGTAAATTATATTAACCAAACAAAGAGCTTTCGTGCTTTTTCACTTACTTAGAGATAAAGTAAACAAAACTCAGCTAAAAATGATATCAAAAATATCGAATGCAACATTGGAAATGATCGAAATTTGACATATTTGACATATGAAACAAAATGTTAACTTAAACAAACAATCAAAAAATCAAAACAAGACGAAAAAATTTTTTCAAACAATTGTTTTTTTTTTTATAAATAAAACATAGTTTTAATATATAAATAAATGTGATTATAAAATATCATATATTATTTAACTAAAAATATTTATTTCAGGTTAATATCAGGAAAGAAATAACTGAAATCTCACAAGTTTGTAATTAAATAGGCCAGGCAATGATTTTCCATTCTTTGAAAATGCAGAGTCCACTTCTTCCGTTTCTGTCTACTCCATTTAATTATGTCCGGTAAATCGTAGACTCTCCTAATGTCATCATAGCGCATACAGTCCCGGCGACGTTAGCCAGCTATTGAGCGCAGAGTGTGCATTTCAGTTTTGGATATAGCAAATTCGGTAGTTTTCAAATCGGATCTTGTCTCAATGACATACGTCGGTATAGGTCTAACGCACATTTTATATATTCGAACTTTTCTTTTTACGTTTAGATATATATTTTGCCAAATAGTATCTCTAAGACAACTTGCTACGCGAGCCGCTTTGTATGTTTGAGCGGTAGTTTCAGCACTTAGGATCTTCGCTGAT